TGGGCGCGGTGGGTGCGGGCTTCACGCCGGGCGCCCGCGCTTCTTCCCCTCCCCCGAACCCGGGAGGCTGCTTTCTCTAGTCTGCTTTGCCGAGGAGGAAACTGAGGCTCACTGCAGGTGAGCAGGGTGCAACTGTCCAGCAGCAGAAGCGGCGGATTTGGGGTCAAGGCTAGTTGGTCGTGCTTGGGGAAGGAGTTGGTGGTCATTTTTTCGTCCGTCCATTCATCTGCACATTCCGCGTGGATGGCCGGCTCCGCGGAGACGGCCACCGGTCTGGCGATCAAGTCCCCGCCCTCCCAGCCTCGGGCTGGGGCTCAGAGACTGCAGCCTGGTCGCTCTTTCATCAGGGTTACTTTCAACGTTGTAACCCCGTGGTGGACCCCATAAGTGCCAGGCTCTGTGCCAGCCTCTACGACTCTGAGAGGAAAACTTACCCCACTTTATAGAAGCGGATCTTGAGGCCCCATAGAGCACATTAGCTCTCACTGGCAGCTCCTCACAGGCCAGGCCCACAGGCAGCAGGTACTACAGCCATCTCCAAGAAGAGGGTCCGGAAAGAGGACACTCCCTGAGGTCAGCTGGGGCTATCTAGAGGCTAGAGAGTGTGTCCCTTAGGCCTAAGGTCCCTGGATCTCCCACCTGGTTTGGAAGGCAGGAGAAGGCAGGTAGGGCCCCCATTCTGGGAACCAAGCAGCTCTTCCACCACCTCAGATCAGAAGCCCCCTGGGAGAAGTTAGAGGAAAGCTTGTCTCTCTCTCTCTCTCTCTCTCTTCCCAGCTCTGGACTTGTCCTTGGTGTTCCTCAGTGGGAATACCCTCCCAGTTCATCTTCCCACTTCAGTGTCTCTCCTTGGCCCCACTGGCCCCCACCGAGAGAGGTTTCCCCTTTGGTCTTCTCTCCCACGGGTAATGGTTACAGTGCACACTTTGGAGTTGTCAGGCGTCACTCCTTATCACTCGCCCAGGGTTAGCTCTGTCCACAGACATGTGCCTGTCCCTCAGTAGCTATATGCTGAACGAATGAATGAGTAGCCAGGACCAGGAGGTGAGCTGTGGGCCAAATGAGAATGGGAGTCTGAGAGGCAGAGGGGTGCCCAGCTCCAGGCCAACACAGGCACCAGCCAGACTGCAATTCCCGAGGCTACCCTGTCCTGCCCTCAGAGGTCTGCCAGCCATACCCAGAGTGGCAGCAAACCGCACCTTCCACAGAGCCCATGCCCATGCCCCGTGAGGCCCAGCCTCAAGTTGGCAAAGGCCTCATTCGTGGTGGGGCCTGGGTGGGTAGATCTGAACCCCAAAGCCAGGAGTGGCAAGGGGAGCTGGGGACAGTGTGGGCTCAGAAGGTCTGGAGAAGATGGTGGGGGGCACACAGCAGGGCATAGATCTGCCCAGATAGCCCTTCCTGCTGGGTCCCTTTGGGAAAGCAGCCTAACCTTTCTGTGCCTCAGTTGCCTCATCTGAAAAATGGGGTCGACCTCACAGGGTCATTGAGAGCGTGGTGAGTGCTTGGCATGGTGAAACCCCAACTGTCACTGTTAGTAACAGATCAGACCGTTTTAGGGGTGAACTTGGACTCCCTCACTTAAATCTTGGGTGAATTACTGGACCCCCTGAACCTCCAGCTCTTGTTTCACAACTGAGCTGCTCAGAGGCACTTCAAGTGGACTGGGCTGGAGGTGGCTCTCCTATGCCCAGCTGACCCCTTCCTTGTTCAGAGGATGCTGCTTCAAACAAACACACAAACTCACTCCCTGCAGATTCTGGGGCCTCAGACTGATTCTCACAAGCTCCAGGTGATGCTGAGGGGTGAGGGCCACGCTTAGAGCCGCAAAGGGTTGGGCTGCAGGGCCCACAGTTCGAAGCCACCAGGAGGTCTAAGGGAGAAAGACTAGGCTTTCTATGGAAGAGCCTTGGACACCCACGGGGGTAGTTCTACCTTGTCCTGTAGGGAGCTCCTGAGTCAGCATCGACCTGATGGCTGTGGTTTGACCCAGAGGAGCTAAGTCACTGGCTCAGGATCACAGGTGGTGATACACTGAGTCCCGAGTCCCTGTGCACCCAGCTCTAACTGCCTGCCTCTGCCCCAGCTTTCTCCCCCAGAAAAAAGGCAGGAAGTGTCCTTCCCCTCCCCCATGCCATTTCCTCTCTCAGCTCCGCACCCCTATCCCTCCCCCCTCATGGTGACATCTGGCCCTTGCAGCCTCCCTGCTCCCAGTGTCCCAGGGGTCCACCGGGTCAGATGAGGTTCTGAGCCTCCTTAGCTGGGGAGATAATTAAGGCGCCTCATGAGCTCACCAGGCTCCCTGGG